TGGAACTCGGCACTGAGGCCTGTCATCGACGGCATAGGCTACAAGAAGAGCGAGATTGAAGATGCGAGGGCCTTTATTCAGAGTATACTGGTGTACGACAATGAGGTCGACAAAGATGGCGAGCACGCGCGCTTGTCCGCCCTCTTCACCAAGAAGATACTTGATGCATACTTGGCGCGGACCAACGTGCCTGCTTCACCTGAAGATGCCGTGAGGCCCGAGAACGAATTTGTGGCCCATGAGCTCGAAGCTGTCCTGGTCGACTTTGGGCGCAAGATGCCTAAGGTGAGTACCTTCACTCAGTATCATGGTCTTCACTAATACATCCAGGTCCTCCTCCTCACACTCGACAATCTCCTCCTACAGAAGCAGCATCGCATACAGGCCTTGAACCTGCTCAGTGCCTTCGTCCGCCTCCAGCCGCCGCACCTCCACCTCGTCCTCGAGACCCCGCTCATTCAGAACCTTGAAAAATGCCTGCTCATAGACAACTCGTCCACTGTCATTGAGCTCGCTCTCGTCGTCCTCATCATGTTCCTGCCTCACATTTGCGGAGCGCTGACCTCTGATCACCACCTCGAGAAAATGTTCCTGGTCTACTGTCGGATACTATGTTGGGACAAGTTGGGTAACACCGACGAGAAAGGCGGTGATATGGACATGCAAGACGACGATAGTGAAGAGGGGGATGACGAAACCGACGCCGACTCCGAACACGCCTGGGAGCAGGTGCAGCCATCCATGGACTACCCTGATAGCCCGCCGCCGACTCTTATGCACTATTTCACCTTCCTATACGGTCTCTTTCCCCTCAACTTCATGAGCTTTGTGCGCAAGCCAAGGAAGTATCTCAAGTCACTCAACTTTCCAGGCGCGCGCGACTTCGACCTGGACCAAGATCTCATCCACAGCCGGACGGAACCCTACCGTCGCGTTCATCTACTCCACCCGAACATGTTCACGACCACAGTCGAAGACGAGCTGAGCGAGAACAGGTGGCTGAAAAGCGACCCCGCAGACGTCGTCATTGAATGCATGGACCTTTGCGTTGCCGTATCGTCGACTTTGGAGGACCCCGGCCCACCACCCAACGCAGCTTTACCCCCTGTCCCAGAAATACCCTCGCAATTCACTCTAGACGATCAGGACGGCACAACAGTACACGAATCAGACGCAAGCTGGAGGAATACTCAGTCGACTATGAACGTTTCGTCAAGCGATGCTCCAGATGTTCCCGATCTTGAACTCCCACCAAGGAGCAAGTCTATCAAGTCTGCGGTATCTATCAAGTCCATGGCCTCACCGTTGCTGAAAGGTCGCGACATGATGGATTCTCCAACACTGCCGCCTACTAAAGATACAAAGAAGCCGGATATGTCTGGTCAATCCGCACAGCGGTTCGTGGCACATCAACCCGGCCTTGACAGTTTCGCCCAATCGATTTCCGGCAATCAATCTACCCACCATGACTTCCAAAACCACACCATGGCGTCTTTGCAAAGAGAGATCATGCTACTTCGGAATGACCTCAACTTTGAGCGGTATCTCAAATTGCAGCATCTTGCTCATATCGGACAGCTACAGCGGAAGCATATCAAAGAAGCGACTGTGGAGGCGGAGACCCAGAATTTGATCAACACCAACAAGACACTAAAGGCCAAACTCGCCAAGGCAAACGAGCTGTACGCCCAACTCAAAAAGGAAACGCTTACGAGCCGGAGCCAGTCCAAGAAATGGGAAAGCGAGTTGAACAACAAGGTTCGGTCGTACAAAGAGAGCGAAAAGACCTGGCACAGTGACGAGGGCGGTCTGCGATATGAGCTCCAAAGGACGCAATCAGACTATGAGCAACTCAAGAAGATTGTAGAGAGAGCTGAGGCAGAGCGACTAAAAGCCCAACAACGGACCAAAGCGTTGGAATACGAGCTTGAAGACTACGCGGACATCAAGCGGGAGCTTGAGGGTGCGCAAGATAAGATCATAGCATTCGAAGACCAGAGGAAGGAGCTACACACCCTCATTCAGGAGCGGAACGACTTGCGCAATGATCTCGAAATCGCAAACATGCGATTGAACAGCCGTGAGCAGGAACGCGAGCGGTCGATCAAGGCTTACGAGCGCCGGATTATGGAGCTCGAGTCCCGACTACAATCTTCCGACAGAAGCACTGGCAAGCCAGGGCAACTGCCGTCTTCCGTGCAGCAGATGCTCGACTCTGCGCTTGCAGCGAGCAACGCCAAAATGCAGCAACTCAAGAAGACTCATTACCGCCTCCTTGAGCAATATACCGAGCTGCAGATGAAGTACCATGAGCTCGAAGGGGAGCGAGAGGCTGAGATGGGACAGCTCTACCCCCGGGACAAGTCTGGTCATATCGATTTCGGCACTTCACGGGTCAGTCGCAACTCCAGCATCCGACAGGCGACCAACTACAGCTCGAGATATTTGACACCTCTATCTACTACCGAGGCCACCCCAAGCGAGGAGCAAGAGTATTACGAATATCGATCGCCGGACTCCGTCCACAGCCCAGGATCAGCCGCTTCACCACCTCGTCCTGCTCGGCTTGAATCACTACAACAGGGGAAGCCGCAACGATCTCAAACAGCGCCATCGCCCTACCCTGGGTTTGGTGGCGGATACGGACCAAACTTTTCCGCAGCATATGATGCGTCTCTCCACAATCAGTTTCAGGCTCCGAAGCCTCAATCTAGCGGGCAGAGTAGCTTCTCCGCCGACACCGATGGAAGCTCAAGTAAGGAGAGAAAAGACAAAGTAGACCCGAAATCGGAGGTCCGGATATACGGTCGGGGTAAGTTATCGGTATTACGTCCTGCAACATCAGAGGCTGACTATGAGACAGGCGGCGCTCAGAACATCGGAAAGAAGGTCAAAGAGAAGGAACAGAAGAAGCCTTCGTCTTCCAAAACTGGTGGTTTCCGCGGCCTCAAGGGCATAATGTGATCGGATTGGGTCACCCACTTGTTTTGCATGTGGTGGTGCCGATCGAAGGCGCCACCATCTCATCAGACGGAATTTTGCGCGACGCGCCTCTGTCACACTCGGTTATCTGCATCCTTCTATCTCGTCTCGCTTCGGCACGACCACAACGGCCACTTCGTCATCAAAGTCGCGACTCAACATATTTTTGTCCACTACTCTTTCTTTTGTTCACTAGTTTCGCATCTATGTATAACGACACTGCATGACACATAGGCCGTTTCAACGCCTACGACTGGTTGACGCCTACGACTGGTTGCATGACCGCATAGTCCTCAGATACCTGCCTCCAATGGCATCCTAGCATCGACTTACTTGTCGACTGTAGCATAGTCCCAAGACTAATAGTGTAATACATTGATACCAATCACATCCATTGATCTCTCCATGCGTACACTCATGCACCAGCATCATACCGTCCCTCCAAAACGCAAGCATGTATCGAAGGCGCCCACAGCAAGAGCGCCCTCGTGCCAAGACACTAACACGCTCTCATTCGCGGAGAGCAGCCGAGACCTGACAACCACCTGGACCGCATCTGCCATTCAGATCCCCACGACACCACCAACATGCCGGAGATCGAATCGCGACGATCACCATCCACAGCCTCAGACCTAGGGACGCATCAGGCCCGCAACTACTGCAACCGCCATCGCAAACAGTAAAGTTCTGATGGGTCCCGAGTACTTGCTTTTTCCTCGTCTGTCCACACACTTGCAACAGTCAGCCTCCTTGAAGCTAGCGCCGTTGGCACTATTCGGAAAATAGCTCACAGGAGATGTCATCCCGCACTAACACGTACGACTAAGACAACGGCCGCCTTGCTGTCCCCTTCCTTCCTTCCTCCCCACGTTCGCGGCGGCCGGGAGCGCGAGCGTACATAAAACGGGTTGAGCGTGTTTGGTACTGTGCTGGGTGCCGTAACGTGGGGATCCTGGTCTGACATGCACTACTCGGTAGATAATCGACTGCGACGGATTGCATAAGGCATCCATGAGGCAGATACGCAGCGCAAGCCAAGACCTATCAAGATCCCGTCGGGCTTTTCATAAGCAAATGCTTTCTCGACTCACGCATCCTTATCGTGCAACCGGCTGACTCGTGTTGCTGAGTCGGGGTCGGTTGTCGCTACGAATAGTGCCGATGGTTCAACAAGTGATCAACTGATCGCGGAGACGGGTGCTGCCACACTGCAGGCGCCGAGGAGTGGAGAGGGTGTGTGTTTGGAGGTGCGCTAAGTTGTGCCGCGCAAAAGGAAAGAGGGAGAGAGAGGAGCGGGTGGGTACCCGAGCTCTCGTCATAAGGGGGTGCTGGGTGATTGGCTGGGTTGGGGAACCGGTCGTTGAGGGCGAGGATGAGTCTGTGGACGACACATGTAGTCTCCTGGACTTCGCGCTCGAGCCTGAAGTCTTTCAGCGAGGACTTTTGGGTGTGTATATTGGTAGGTTGGTCGTGTGTGCGAAGTCATACTTTGATACCGCTACCATCCCATTGTACTGCTGACAGCCTATCGCAATGAGCGACTTGACTTCCGAACTATATATGTATGTATCTATCTAAATAGATCTTCTCGAAAAGAAAAACATCGTCAACACAAGAGCTTGATGGGTTGGTAAGTTGATGACATTAGTTTGTTAGTGTAAAATAATCGTCTCTATACTTAACCATGGCACCGAAGAATGACTCTGCAATGAACGTATGGTCCGTGGAAGACCTATGTAGCAGGGGAACGAATGTATGATATTCAGTCATGCTAACGCGAAGCTGAGATGTAAGCATATATCATCAGTTCAGAACGACATTGACCTTCCAAGATTACATTGTCGTTGGCAAACGTGTTAATTTTCTGTACTTCATATTCTAGGGGCACGTTGTAGTCCGCAACACTTGCAGCCAGAATCTCAGCCAGACACCACCTTTCTCATATCAAGAGCCTTTCCAATGCCATGTCTTTACCAATCAAACGCATCTAAAGTACCTCAAGACCCATTAGCCCCAGCTCATCTGCGCATACCCTGTGGTAAAGGTACAGATTCTCCAAATCCTGATGTACGCGAGCTTGCCTGTATACGTTTGTTGTCGAGCGGCGCCCTAACAACCTGCATACTACCGGTCATGTTTCGCGGGCCAGTCGGAGTTGTAGCAGGTAGTGAGCGGTTTCGCGAACTTGCCAGTAGACTACTGTGCTTTCTCTGCCAAAATATCCTCGCCTCCTTCTCTTTGGCTAGCTCCTGATGTAGCCTCTCCCGCTCTTGATGATGGTTGGCCATTCGTGCTCCTTGTTTCACGTGGCCGATCTCATGGGTCTGGAGGGTATTTCTCTGGCCCAGCATCTTCGATCGGAGACGAACGATATCACCCTGCATCCTCAACTTCTCTGCTTCCCATTTCTCCTTCTGTTCCTTCATCGCAATGTACTTGACCTTGTAGTTTTTGGTCTTCCTTTCTTGATCGAATAACATAGCCTTCCAATCCTCGCCTCCTTCCTCTTGCTTGGCATGTTCAGCAGTAGACGCAGCTAGAGCCTCCTGGATCTTGTACTCCTTTTTCCACGCGTTCCGCTGCGTCTGTATATCGCGTCGCTTAGTCTTCTCGCGCATGAGCTTGGCCTTTGTAGCACCGATCTTCGCGTCTCGTTGATCAAGCTGAGCTCTGAGTTCTCGTGTCTCCTGCTCATATTTGGCGTGTATCTCGGTTTCATAGTCGCTGATTTGTTCCTATGATGGAGCGTTAGCGACTACCATGACCCGAGAACCTCCAGGAGAAGGCCATAACTTACAAACAGGCGTGTACGTTTATTCGAGACTATTTTGCGACGTTAGCCAGGTTTCAGATAGGCGCTGACGCTCTGCTTACCACTTGGTAGATCGTCGGTCCGATCGTCGCTGAAGTCAACGAACTGACGTTTACCCAGACTAGGCGAGGCCGTGCTCTTGCTGCGATGTACAAGCTGCAGATTCGACGCATCTACCGCAATGGGTTCATTGGGATGTAGCCTCTCATTCGCAGGTGAACTGAAGAATGCGTTTCGTGAAACTTGCTCGTATGAAGTATGTCCCGCCTCTGCCAGAGGTTTCTGGTGTCGGACCAAATTCGTACAAGCGAGTTTGAAGTGGCCCAGTATATCCGGGTTCACAAGATCGAAGACCTGATCCAGTCGTCCAGTTGACAGGAAGATGAAGTTGATAGCGGAATCAACTACTGCACGCTCAAGCTTGCGTTCTGGATTCATTCCGGGCTTCTGACTGCTGTAATCGTGCGAGCCACCGATATAGCTGAAGGGCGGATCATAATATACCTTCGACGAATGTATGTCCTGCACCAATGGAGTGACTTGCTTTCCTGGCCCAGAATAGTAACAGATCCTTTCGCCTGTAGCGCATGCCCATACTGGCGGGCCGCTGGCTTTGCGTGAATAGTGACCGACTAGGAGCATGTGGCGTCGATGTGTGTTGTGCTTCTCGTCCAGATACAGCTTCTCGGAGAATTGGTAGAGTGCCATATCAGATATGGCGGTGAAGTGGGTCGCAAGTCTGCCTGTCGCGTACTTGGTGAAGTCACCGAGTATGTACCTTTTCTTCGGCATCATCTTTGCTGATGAGCTGTATTGCATAGCGCGTGCGGATATGGCGGTATCGGGGCGGTACCGATACTCGATTGGTGTGTAATCGCAGGCGCGTTAGAATAGTACACTCAAGTACCCGGCGGTATTGGCCACAGGTCGTGCTCCGTAGCTGGTAGAATGCAGTATCTCAAGGCGATCAGGCAGTCGAACGAGGAAGGTTGTTGTGGGGGAAAGTCGAAGAGCGAAGAGGCTGTAGGTCGCGTTTGACGCGCTAGGCGGGGAGCAAACGCTACCTCCAGCATCAGCAAGGTGAAGGTGAGTAAGCAAGTTCGGGCTGACGAAGCTACGAAGAGAACAACCAGATGTTCAGGATCCCAGCGCGTGCAAGAAGTGGTAGCAGATTCGACACATGGTGAGAGACAAGAGATAAGCGTGGTCAGGATTGATACTGTCATTGATCATAAATTGGGATTATATACAGGTCGCGACGTACCCGTCTTCGCCCTAGAGCAGGCATCAGCACCTCCAAGTAATAACCTGATACAGCCTCACTCACCCCCAACACGTGTGCTGACTTACGCCTTGTACACAACCTTGCTAACCTTGTACTCCACCACAACACCTGGCTTTCCCTCACCTGTGATGAAATGGCCGGCAGCGACATACGTCCCGTTCTGCAGGTCCTTGTACTTCTCGTTGCCAGTCTCGAAAGTGAAGTTGACGAACGAGTCGCCGTAGTCCGTGGTCTTAGCATCCGAAGCACCAGATAGCACCTTGCCGACATCAGGCGTGAGCTTCACGGTGCCCTTGTAGTACATTGCCAGAATTGTTCCGTCATGATTCCTGTATACCATAAGCATTAGATGTTCTCTCAAAGCTGTGTTAGTGTCTTTGCACTCACTTGACCTGACTCCTGACGTCCAGGCGCATGTTTCCGCCATCGGCATCGTTGTGGATGTAGTCGTAGCCGGTACCGTGCAGCTCTCCGTCCAGCTTTGGCTCAAAGCCCGGTTCACTCTTCACTGTACCGGATACCATCGGGACGATGACCAACTGCGCGCCATGCTGGCCTCCGACTTGCATCGGCGCATCGATGTCGACGCGGACGGTGAAAGCGGGTTGGAGAGATGGGAAGCCTGACATTCTTTTGATGTTGCAGAGGGATTCGGGTAATAGTTTTGTGGAATCGATTGCTTGTATTGGATGCGATCCTTGGTATGTACGATGGGTTTGGGGTGGAGCTAACCTATGTAGTTGGAATGCGGAAGCTACCCCTCTGACCCCACTTTGAGGGGAGGAGCTTCCTTCTTTCCGCACCGGTGACGGCATCAAATGAGAGGCATCCGCTCTGTGCACATGTAGCATTTGTATTTCGGGGTCACATGAACGGAACGATGCGCCAACCCGAAACTTAAAATCCACTGATCCTCCCCTTCTTTTTCTTCTTCTTGTCTAGCTTTCCTCCAAACTTGCCCCGCTCTACTTGACTTAGTGGCATCATGAAGCCACCAGTCTGGAATGGTACCTGGCTTTGACTTTGGCTCTGACTCGGTACCTGACTGCTGCTACCTATACCACCCAGCGTGGGCCCTGGAGAGCTTCTCGGATATGCGTTGAGTTGACTCGCAGTCTTGGCCCTCATGAGCTCGTTCTCGCGTTGTTGGCGCTTTTCCCTACGTTCCTTCTTCTTGCGTTCCTTCTCGCGTTGTTGCTGGCTCTCTTCATCTAGTTCTTCGGCCCGAAGAGTACGCTCCATACTGGCCCAATTGTACACATGCGGATCCTTTCCTAATTCCCAATGCGCGAGACCTTGAGAAACGTTTGGCGGAATGATAGCCGGGTCTTTGGAAGTTTGAAGATACTTGCTAAGCCGACTAAGGGGGTCTGACGAAGCTGGCTCCATGGAAGGTATCTCGGGTGGGGACGATCCATACACAGAGGATGGAGGCAAAGACGAAGGTGGTATAGATGAGTATGGCGGTGTCGGTAACGGCTGAGAGGCAGAATATCTTGAGGTGAAGTTGAAGGTAGCCTCCTTTGGTCTTGCAGGCAAGATGGGCAAGGCTACGGCACTGTCCTGACTCTGCCCACGCTGTATGCTAACAGCTGGCACTTGGATCCGATCGTCACGTATACACGTGCTTGAGAACAGCAACTCCGTAGCAATTCGCCGAGCCAGAAGTTCTTGGCGTTGCCGAACGCGAATTGGCATATCGGGTGGCATAGGCGCAACCCACGTCTGGAGTATACTATCGTATGCATCGGAAATGGTGAGGTCGCTGTCGTCGGTCAAACCAAGTACGCGCATAGCTGCGATACGCTGAACATCCACAGTATCTTGACCATTTGGCGAAGAGAACAGCTCTTGGAAGTTGGACGAAGCTTCGTCAATGTCTGCAACATGGAACTGTGCGTGCGTAAACTCCATCCTGCAATTGTTAGTTCAGAACGCAAACAAGACCCAGTTCACTTACAGAGTACCCAATGGTAAAGGTGGCAAGTCTGCACCAGTCGCCAGCATTTCGTTCACTTGATCCATGACGGCCACCGCATCGATGGTACCTGAGACCTGCTCCGCCGCGCTCTTTGACTGAGATAGAATCTCGCCTAGAGAAGCATTGTCCCGAGTTTCCGGCATGGCAGCACCGTCCCAGGATCTGCGCAATTCTGGCTGCTGCCTGCCAATCTTGGAGCTTGGTAACCCTCTGTCGACCAATCCATTAGGCACTATAAAATCCTCGTCTTTGTAGCGTGGTTTCGAGTTAAAGATGAGGTTTCTAGGGCGTTTGATCGTGCTTCGCGTGAAGTCTACAACGGCATGGTCATTCTCGGTGGTATGTCCTGTCGAGGTGCTCCGACTCCAGACAACCAGCTCGCGCGTACTTAAGTCGGAGAGCGTCACAAACAGTTGGAGGAAAACGCAGTCTTTCTTTGAGTATTCCCATCGCATGGGCTCGATGTACAAGTTGCTTATGTGCGCGGATCCACCGATGGGTAGGTCTAGCAGGGTCGGATCCGAAGTGGTAACGAGGCCGGAAGAATCGGAGGTATTGCTGCGGAAGCTTTGCATTTGGACCAAGTTGTTAACTCGAGAGTGGAGCATAACACATGTTTCTGTCAGGCTGTCAGTGAGATTTTTGTCACGCGATTGATCTGCAACTTACCATCGTCCGACAGCATCTGCACGCTTATGTGAAGTGTGAAATCCTCCACGCCCCGGTAGTGCCGCCAGGATGTGAGGACCTTAGCTCCAGCTTCACCAGCCCTCGGAAGCAGCTCACTTGGTGCAGTGACCGAAAGGAGGAATAAACGAGTAGAGGTCAAGACGAAAACCCGACTTCTATCACTCGGGTGTTGCTTGACATCCAAGATCCAGTCTGCCGATCGTTCACTGAAAAGCTCTGGGCAGGGAAGGTATGACGTTGTCCTGCCCTTGATGCTGACGATGCTCAAATGGCGCCTGTTGCATACCATCAACGTCGTTGTATCAGCTACCCAGAGAATCCTCGCCCAACCGTCTTCGCAAGCTGTGTCCCCGTCCTCTTCCAGTCCATCGATCTTTCCACGAAGCAGGCATGAAGCCGAGTACGTGCCAAGTCTGGGCCGATGCTCGATGTCCCATACACTCCATGTCTGATTCAGGTCGACGAGTGCAAACTGCAACGGGAAGTCTGGATTGAATGTGACGTCGACATGAGCAAAGCCACCGGTATTGTTTTGACTTATGCTGAGTATAGGGTGGAGTTCGATCGAGGAGGCGGGTAAGCGGTAGAACGGTGAGACATCGGAAGCGCGTGGTCGGCGGTGGTAGTCTGGGTGGAAGAGGACAGTACGGGTAGGCAGTCGCACAGCCAGAAAGGGTCTGCTGTCATCCGAATGCGAAAAGTGAACTTGCTGGATCGGTGCCGCTTCCTCATTCCAGAAGCCACTCTCCGTGTCTTTCAAGGTCCGCCCTTCTACCCATGACTTCGGGTCTGCTGTCCAACCGTGTCTTTCGTTGTCTAGGATTGACAACTGCAGTATGCTGCCAGAGTCTCCCGTCGGCAATGCAGCTATTTGCCATGCCTCGTGTCTACCCTTGGGTGTAATCGAACCGAAGGAGAGTAGGTCGCCGACGAGCGGATCGTAGGTAGAAGCCGTGGATGATATGGCAGCAGATACTACAGCTAAATCGGGGAGGACAACGGCTGCTGCAGAGAGCTGAGGGTGTTCTTCGATGCTGTTGCTGATCTCTTTCTGTATGCTGGTCCTACTCGCTAGAATTTCTGCAGGGAGAGAAAATGCCGGTGTCGCATGACTGCTCGCAGAAGTCGCGTCCTTCGAAGTTCGAATGCGCTTGAATGGGCGTGTAGTATATGGCCTGGCAAACGTCCACTCTCTATTGCCCAGGTCGTAAGTCGCTGCACCGGGATGGCCGTAGTTCAGATCTTTGAGCGATCTGTCAGCCATTGGGCTGTCGTAAAGGTTCTCGATCCGTAACGACGCTGGAGTATAAACTCATTCTTTGTACGCAGAAAACAAAAGGCTGTATGCGAGAGCGAAGATTCTGTCTGTCAAGGTTGAGCATGCGCCGGACGCGATGATGAAAGTAACCTTGGAACCTCGCCAAAAAGTTCCACTAGCGCCAAAAGTCGCGTCGGCACGTGCGTGCGCCCCGCTATCGCTCCTGCCGCATTAGCGCGCATGTTTGTTTACGGAGCAACCATCTCATCCGCCCTCACCATCCAACGTCGCATCGAACCCCACCACATATTCGCATGCTCCACGAGAGACATCTCAATCAGACCGCAACCATGACGACCTTCGAGCCCTCCATGAGCACCACGATGCGCGCCTCCTCGCACGATGCGCCGTCCATGGCCGACCAACTGCCCAGCATCAACTTCGGATTCGACGATCTGCGCAGTCGCATGAACCAGTTCACTACACGATTTGATGCTTTCATCGAGAATGGCCGCAGACGAGTACTGGAAGAGCGCAACCAGTTCCGCATGAATGTCGCAGAACTCCATGGTATGACAACATCACATTTATCTGCGCGCCAATCGATCGCATACTAACTATTGCGACAGAGGACCAACGCATGAAGAAGCGCGACATCGAGATCCTCGAACTCAAGACAGCCCAGCACAGTCAGACAATCTCCAAGGAGTCCCAAGAAACATCCGAAATGCAGGAGGCCATCTCCGCCCTCACCCTTCAGCGCGACGAGCGCCTAGCCCACCGCGACAGCCTGCGCGCCCAAATCGCCGAAGTGCAAAAGACCATCTCCGCGCGCCGGGAAGCACAACTCAAACACCGCCGTTACCTCGATGGGCAAAGTCGGTACAACGAACCAGAACTCGACTTCTGGGAGAACTATTTGGGGTTGAGGATTGAGGGGCTGGGCAAAGACGACAGGTTGAAGTTCGTCTATACCAATGTTGATGAGAGGGAGTGGGACCGTGAGGCGTGGTTTGAACTGGATACCAGCGAGCGCGATTACAGGGTGCTGGAGATGCGGCCCAAGGTCGAACGCGAAGAGGTCGAGACGGTGGTGGACAGACTGAATGAAACGCGCGACTTAGCAGGCTTCCTGAAGGGCATGCGAGAGCTGTTCGTCGACGCATGCAAGTAATTGCGGGCAAGCAGCAGTCCTGTCATGATGTCCTTATGTAATTATGCCTTTAGTTTTGATAGATACCCGCAAGCTACTTTTCTTCTCATCTCATCGACCGCCGTTCTTGATCTTGTAGAACTCCGGCGCATACTCCGTCAACCAGCCCATCTCCACTGTACTCAAATCCCTAATGTAAATCTTGTCTCTTGTAGACTGAATCTCCGTGTATATAACCCAATCCGCCTTCCGCGTAAAAAACACAGACGTCGGATGAGGCCATAACGTCGTCTTTCCATCGACAGTAGTAAATGTCCCATCTGCCTTCATCCTCGCAGCATGTGCGAAGAACCCAGTCGTTAGGCAGCGGCGGACGCGCTCGGCGAGTGGTGTACCGCCAACCCTCAGCACGCCTGATGAAGCGAGGACATTTTCTTTGACACCGAAGCGATCCAGATAAGCAGCCAGTTGTTTTCGGACGCTGACTGCTTTGACGAGCGACTTATGATTCAAGCTATTCGAGTGGCACCACGATGTGTTGCCCATTCCAGCTTTCACGAAAGCTTCGTATACATTGTATAGTGTAAGGTGATCGCCTTCTGCTACGGCAAATTTCCGCCTCGCCGCATCAAGTTGCTTCTTTCCGCCGTCATGAGAAACGAAAGCATTGCCTTGCAGAGTCATCATCGCGGCTATTGTGAGCATTTCGCTCAAGCAGCCAAACTCCGGTTCAGCGGCCTTCAACAATGCGCGAGCTAGCATCGGTTCGAGCGGAAGCTCCGCCATACGCGTGCCAAGGGGCTTCGTGAGGCGAGCATGAGCGTCCAACGCGCCGAGAGAAAAGAGTAAATCCAGAGCGCGCGTTACTAGTGCTGATGGCGGCGGCGAGAGGTAATCGAACCGCACCACATTTGTGATTCCCAAGTTGAGAAGCTGCAGGATCACAGGTGCGAGATTCGAGCGGGCGAGTTCTGGGAACGTGGCTTCCTCCAAGCTTTCGTAAACGCTTTCAGGATACAGTCTGAAGCATTTGCCCGGCCTCGTCCGTCCAGCACGACCCGCTCTTTGTGTGGCACTAGCTTTCGATACGGGCACGACAGCGAGATTTTCGATGCCTAGACTGGCGTTGTAGGCGCGAAGCTTGACATATCCTGAGTCCACCACAAAGACGATGCCGTCGATAGTCAAAGATGCCTCTGAGATGTTGGTGCTAAAGACGACCCGTCGCGTGTCTTGTGGCGGTTTTGTGAAGATGAGATTTTGGTCTTCTGTTGGCAAGCCAGCGTAGAGGGGTAAGGGCATGAGCTTTTGCTTGGATGAAGACATGTCGGCAATGCGGTCACCTAGCTTGTCGATTGCGTCGTCTATCTCCTCGCGACCTGTTAAAAAGACAAGTATGTCGCCTTCGCTCTCGTGCTCGTGAATCTTCATGACCGTGTCGATCGCTGCTTCCACGTAGTCGTTCGTTGGTTCCTGTAGGTACTGGATCTCAACCGGATATGTTCGCCCTTCGATACCAATGATGTACCCGAATTCTTCCTTGCTCTTGCCGTGGACCTTTTCGCCATCATCGGGGTTGAAGAAGTCAAGGAAGCGTTCCGCCTCTAGCGTAGCGCTGCTTACAACAACGCGCAAGTCTTCTCGCTTCCTCAGCACCTTTTTCAGTAGGCTCAAGAGTATGTCAGAAGACAAGCTTCTTTCATGTGCTTCATCGACCATAATGACTGAATAGCGTGAAAGGAGCGGATCGACGAGCATCTCGCGCAGTAACAGGCCATCTGTAACAAACTTCACCTGCGTAGCTGCGGACGTGACATCTTCGAATCTGATACTGTACCCGACTTGTTGACCAAGAGGCGTACCCAGCTCTTCTGCTACCCTTGCGGCTACGCTAGTACATGCTATTCTCCGGGGTTGGGTGATCGCTATTTGCTTGCCGCCATTGCACCAGCCGGCTTCCAGCAGAAATTTTGGTATCTGTGTTGTCTTTCCTAAGGCCACATATCAGCTTTGACATTTTGTGGGAGATTAGAAAATCTTACCGCTTCCTGTTTCACCAACGACAATGGTCACAGGGTATGTCTCTATCGTGTAGAGGAGTTGATCTTTGAGTTGCGCGATCGGTAGCAAAGCGGGCGGTTTGTAAAGATTTGGAATCAGAGCAGACTCAACCTCTTCATCCTCCGCCATGACCTTGTATTGGAAGTAGAGTTAGATGGAAAAGGTCGAGTTGTGTCGAAGATGCTGAAAGTATCGAGTGCTGTCCGGCCTTCTTGGAGATGACGCTAGCAGTATGCGCTAGCCGTGTCGGGACTTTAGTGCCAGACGACGAGAACCTTGGAAGGAAAGCACGAAGAAGAGCACACCACACCTTGCGTCGCGCTCCGAGTGAGCTTTATCATGTAGTCCTTATGCAATACTCGAGTAGAGGTTCTGAAATCTCATTCTAATACGCTGTTCAGCTGGTAGAATGATGATTTATAGCGTGGTACAAGGGAATACTAGCCCAAGAAGTGTTCTCTCACTAGTGACGTTGGTAGACTCATGCAGTCAGAGACAATAATGCCCAGGTGAGGTTAAGCCAAGTGTGTCAACTACGCTGCTTCGATATCTGCCTGCTGGTAAGTTATCTCTTGGTGACCCACTCTCCTTTGCTCGTTCTCTACTTCCCTTTTCGCTACCTACCTGAACACATGCTACTGCCTAAAGCTCGAGTGGTATAACTTGCGACAGTCATCATATCTGAAGGCCTGACAAGCACATTTACAGCAAGACCCATCAATCACGGGTGCATCATCGAGGAATACTAGGCGCATGCACCAAACTCTCCGCAGCTGCTTACGTTTGAGCAGATGGCTTCCAATGACAAAGTTACTTTGCAGAACATCCAAGACTACGCCAATAAGTACTTTCCAGACGAGTTCGCAAAATTGCCTTTGGTAGAAGACTTGGTCTGGATACCAGCCTCACAGACTCGAACCAAGACACAGTGGTACATGAAGATCGCCCTGGTACAGCTTCGTATCGGCGGATATACGGCTAGCCAGTCAATATGGGCCCACAAAGAGCTTGACCAGTCGCATGGGGGAGTATACGTGCTATCTGGAGGACAACGAATCCTATCGGTGGTGTTGCCACATATCGAGGACCTCTGCCATCCATTCAAGACCGCATATCGACAAAGTGGATATTCATTTGATATGGTAGGACCCGATTACGGCTTCGAGCTGAAAACTTTGATCGAGTACTACTTTTTGCTGAAGGGCGCGATAACGCCCTTTAAGTATCCGTGGGCTTTGGATAATTCTGAATGGGCGGTCAGGTCGGTCGCGAATGGGGCGGCACTGAATAACATCCCTACCACCAAATTTAGCGCGGATGCAGAGACGCGGATGCGCTCTATTCAGACTAGGCTTCCCTCCACACCGCACGCATCAGCGTTGTTGCCGGCTGAAATCGGTATCCAAGACCGAGGTACCTCACTCACGGAGGATCTGATGCGCACGGTCAAGAATCGTGTCCCTGAAGAGATTGAAGGAACTGGTAAGTGATGGTTGATCCCGTTTGATTGCTTCATCAGGGGGCGTGGCTTACGCAGAACAGGTACAACAAGACAAGAAGCACACCATACAGACAGGGTAAGCGCAATAATCTGTAGATATTGAGGCGAATAACGTTGACTGTAGAACCAGATGAAGAAGCTCTTCAAAGACCAAAAGGATGCGCGAAGAAAGATTGATGAAGACATGGCCGCCACATCAGCGCAAAAAGAGACACACATAGCAAGGATCCAAGTGCTTGAAAATGAGCTCTCTGAGGCACAGGCAGCGCGCAAAGCAAGCGATGGAGCTATGGCAGCTCTGCATGAGGGACACAAACAGATGCAAAAGCTGCTGGATAACAGTCGAACTGAGAACGAAGAAGTCAGAAAGAAGCTGAAGACACTTGGTAACAGCAGCGTTAAATACGCCCGCCTATGGAGACAGAGGGCGCGAGCAGAACGAGACAGACTGTCAGAGGCGGAGGACAAGCTTAAGGAAGAATGTGCTCGCACAGAAGCCAGGATGCAGAAAGCGCGAGCATTCTACACAAACCAGAAAGAGTTGCTCGAGATAGAGGTTGCAGAATGTCCAGAAGAAGAGAAGGAGTTAATTATGGAAGCATTCAAGGCAGAGTATGGAGAGCTTTGCCCAGAATGAGGACAGCGTGAGCATCTGAGATTATCTTGAAGCGGCCGCAATGCTGAGATACGGTAGGATTGCTGGGATACATTGCGAGGTCCAGATGTTTGACTGCGCTGAGCTGAAGATTGCGGTCTTCTTTGGAGTATGTTTGGGTCTTTTGAGCGACAGAGCCTTGATGCAACCAGTATGGGTGTGATGCTCAGAAACCATGGAGGCGAGATGCTGTATCGGGGCGCAAGGATCAAGATGGATCAAGTCCCAGTAGCAAGTGGCAGATGATTAATCAGCTCAGACAGTCTGAGGTACTCAACTGGAAATAGCATAAACATTGATTGCGATTCACCTTCTCCGTTGATCGAGCAGTCGCGACTGCTGGGTGGATGACGTCTGACGCTAATGTGCGCTTATCGATAGCCCCTCTAACATTTTCGAAAAGTCGCGACTCACAGCCCAAGACACTCGCAAATGGCATTTCGCAAGCGCAACATCGCGCTATCTCGCGCACCGGCAGGCGAAGACGCGTCAAATGCGCCATCGTCTCCCTCGATAGCACAACCTGCGCCAACACCCCCCGGCGTCCGCCCCTCACCCATCGATGGCCGCCCCACCACGTCGACCGGCACACCCTCGCTCGATGGCATCTTAGCAGGACATGCTGGCCTGGCACTGGGGAACTCGATACTCATAGGTGAGAGCGGGACGACAGACTATGCCGGCGCATTACTGCGGTTCTACGCGGCTGAGGGAGTGGTGCAGGGCCATAAGGTGCATGTAGTAGGCATGGGCGAAGTGTGGGGCAGGGAATTGCCAGGCATATCAGAAGACAAGTCGGACAAGAGGAAGGAAGGGAAGGAGCGAGCGGAGAAGATGAAGATCGCGTGGAGATATGAAGGCCTGGGGCAGTTTGAGAGTGCTAGAGGTGCGTTGTGTACATATACTCTGCGAATGCAAGACCATCTATCGAGCAGTTTTGACGAAGTTCTCAACAGGCTCTCCCAATGTGCAGAGGACAGCAGGTCAAGGCGATAGTGCGACAGAAGAGCAGATAGTCTTCTGCCATACCTTCGATCTCGCCAAACGCCTCACGCTCCCTGTAGGGACAGCGGTCAACTATGTGCCCATACCTCCACCGACAGGCACTTCGTCACCCTTCCCTCCGATTCTGCAAAACATACGGCAGCAGCTCGAATCGACACCACCACACACGATTCATCGCGTTGTGATACCGTCTCTCCTCTCGCCGGCATTGTATTCTCCTTCGGCGGCCCACCCGACCTCCGTACTCCAATTCCTCCACGCTCTACGCGCGCTGCTCCGACATTATCAAACGCGCCTGACCGCCATTATCACAATTCCCTTGACCTTATATCCGAGATCCTCAGGCCTTGTTCGCTGGATGGAGATCCTCTCTGACGGTGTCGTTGAGCTGTCTCCATTCCCATACTCGCGTGCGCAAGCACTCGCACAATCAGCAGGTACGACGAAGGAAGAAGAGCGACCGCAGGGTATGTTCGCCGTTCATAAACTACCGGTGTTTCATGAGAAGGGCGGCGGCGGTGGAGCAGGAGACTTGGGCGAGGATATGGCGTTTACGTTGAGTAGGCGGAAGTTTGTGATTGCGAAGTACAGCCTGCCACCGATGGAAGGCGATACCGAGGCGCAGGAGGAGGCTGTGCGGGAGGCGGCTGGTGGTAGCAAGATGCCGAAGAAGCAGGATCTGGAGTTCTAGAAGGCTCAAATCGGCGGTAGTGTGTAGATGAAGATACCCTGTACAGCACCGAGATGGGCAGTCAAGCCATACTTCTTATCGAGGGTATCAAGTTCCTCATTCCGAGTCGCTGTCTTCCCCCATCATGTCTTCCATCTCAATTTGTTCCCAGCCGCCGGTGCCTGCTCCCGACCCGAATCCTCGCGTGTAGTTGCGACCGAACGATGCGTTTCGAGGATTGAATGTGACGCCAGCGAATCGTGCGCGGAAACCGTCGCCCATACACGAAGATGCGGCTAGGAATGCAAGGAAGAAGAGAAATGGAATGAAGAGCAACAGGCTCAGGAGAACCAGAACGTTCATGGCGGGCTTGTGGCGTGGGCGGTGCGGTGAAAGAGAGCTGCACGTGGAAAGCTTAAGTTCGAGACCTCGGGACCCCTATGACATAGTGTCGGCGGTTGGCCTCATGGGGACCGAGCCCCTGGCCGCCGTCAACATTTGGGCTAAGACAACTCAGCCTTTACATTCTCTCGAGTCTCACAATTCTACAAACGATGGATCGCATGTTCAAACTACCACTTGGCGCGCTCCTGCTGCTTTCATGCGCCCTCAATGCCTCGGCGCACGGCGGCGCCGAACATGCGCAAGTCGAAGTCCCAGCGGACGCCGACTGGGCGACGCGACACATGGCTGGTACGAACTTCCCCAGATCCCCACAACATGAAACAAAGAGGAAGGGCCCTTCACTGACACTGTCGCAGAGGAGCATCACATCGCGGGTTACGACGCAACCACCTTCTTCAACATGCACGACTACGACAGTACTGGTCTATGGACTACCGTCGACATCCGCAAAACCTACGGTCTCGAAGACCCCTCCAGCGCCTCCATTTCCGAGACCAAGAAGCAAATGGTCGTTCAGACTATCCTAGACATGTTCGATATCAACAAGGATGGCTCTATCACCTTGGCTGAATTCCTGCAAAAGGATTCGGAAAACGTCAAGCTCCCGGACTTCGGCATGGGCCCAGGGCACCACGGTGACGACGAGTACGAGTACGAGATCCATCATTGGGAGAAGTACCACAGCGGTGACGACGTGAAGGAGGAGGACTTGAACCACCCAGAGGACATTGCGCATTTCAAGATGCATGAGGAGAAGGAGGCGGCACAAGAGGAGTGGGAGAGGCTTGAGCTCAGAGGTGTCGTGGAGAAGAACATTCCCCAGAAGTACAGGCGGAATTGAGAGACCCAGCAAAGGTCTCTTGACAGGCGAACGGCGCTAGGGTGGATATAATGAGTCTTGAATACGCGGAGATGATACCTATGCCAATATACGGCTACCGAATTCCAGAGCACTTTTCAGAGCCATTTCTCGAACCACGCAAGTACCTGCTTCTCCGAGTCCTCCAGCGCCTTCCTCTCCTGCGGATCGTCGGGGTTGCCTCTGACCGCGAACCCATGCCTGCCAGGCGTATACGCCTTGTGTTCGATCTCAGGGAACTCCTCTCGCGCCTTCTGTGCCTTCGCATGACATTCTTCCACCTTGCTCTTCGTCTCAAAGCTCACAGCGATATCCTCTACGCCCCACGCAAAGCTCGTAGGGACGACGAGACCTTCAACGTCCTCGGGAACGGCCAGGTGGCTTGGATGCAGAGCCACAATCGCATCGACAAGCGGCTTCTTCACCCCAGCCATCTCGACCATGTTGCTCTCCAACCCCGTGCGAGCAGCATACTTTCCGCCCCAGCAGAACCCAACCATTCCGATCTTCCTCTCGCTCGGCGTCGCTCGCCTCAACTCCCTCATAAAGTCAAGACAGATCTTATCCGACTCAGCCTTCCCATGCCTCCGCTGCCACATCAGGAACGTCGGCAAACTAGCCAAGATACCCGTATACTTCGCAAAGGTACTCTGCGCCGCCGCGTCGACAGGGAGCAGGGCATCAGCGACTTTGAGTCCGACAGGATCGCCCTTGAAGAAGTCTGGGAGCAAGACTAGATACTCTCCTGAGGCGGCGTAGGCATCGGCAATGATCTTGTTGTTGGGGAGACCTAGGCCGAAGATGTCGGAGTATATGCAGATGGTTGCGCGGGGTGAGGTTCGGTTTCCGACTGTGTAGACGGAGAGGCCGTGGAGTGTTTCGATGGTGCCTTTGGGTGTTCCGGCGTGGATTGAGCCCTTGATGCACTCTGTTGAGCAAGAAGTTCCTGTTGCCATGATGATTGTACTGGCACGGAGTCTATGCTGGACTCGTGATATTGATCGGTTACGATTTGAAACAAAAGATGATTGTCAAAGAAGTTTTCCACGGTTATGAGCTGCTGTTGCTGATCACAGCGCTATCTCCTCTCTTTATACACTCTCCCCCCGCGGTACACCTTCATCTAAACGGTCTCACCGTCAGAACAAGCATCGTACCAAGCGCTGATAGCGCGACTATTACCCTTTGCGTCTGTATGACTCTGTAGCCACCAACTGGATCATATTCCATTCTCGCCAATCGTAGATCTCATGAATGGTGGAATAAGTGAGCAGGCTGTTACGCCCGGCCGATAAGGGTCATCACACGCTAAGCCTCTTGCGGCTTTTTGAGCGAGAGCGTCAGCATCGAGACCGCGCGCGGGGAGGTTGGTGCGTCCTACACACGGCGTGCGTTGCAGAGGACTTTGACTCTTTCAGCTGTGTCTCTTGCACGTTGTCCGTGGATCCAGTCTGCGGCCCCTTCTCACGCGCCTCTTCTCGTACCTCCCGCTTCTAGCGCTTCTAACGTTTTGTTGTATTGTCACCCATCTACGATGTTCGATCTTGCATCGACGAAGAAGCTTCTTGACCACAGAATATCTGCCATACAAGAAAGATATGATCGGGAGGACTTCAGAATTCGTCGCGAAATCTAACGTCATGCCCCCGCACTCCCGCCTTAATGCCTCCAGGGCTGGCGGTACCGGCACGCAACCACCCCATCGGTCTGTCGAGACACGATTGCTACATTAAGCTTGAGATGTATGAGAAGCGCGCTTTCGACCTATTGCACAAGCGTAAGACTGACTAGAGTGGGCATCACCTGGAACTCTGGGTCGGTACGGCAGAGCCTTGGAAACGTTCACGGGTCTGCAGGGTCCACATCACGTGCTTGCCTTCTGCCTAGAAACCGACCTGCACATATAGACCAGATTTTCCAGCGGACAGTCAACAAGTTCTTCAACTCTCTTTTCTCTCTAAGAAACCTTGAATACACATTGTCCAAGATTAGCCAGTATGGTCGACACCGAGAATCCCGCATCCGCCAACCAACCCAAGAATGCTGACCAGTTGGAGCAAGGTATCGAAGAATGGAGAACCTCTGCTCTACGCGCAATCGATAAAAGGATCGCGCTGTATAACCCCAAACTCACACATCAAAACGTCGCGCCCGCTACGTCGTCAGCCCCGCCACATGCACACTACAGCGAATCTCACCGCGCTCTGGATGTCGTCGAGATACTGGAGCAAATCCTTTCTCACACCTCGCCCAGAACTCATTACAAAGCATGTAATGTATCGAAACGTTGGAGAGACATCGTTGTCCACATGTTGGAAACGCAATACCGCGTCCCGTACCCCTGCCCACCTGTCGAATACGGAGACACTATTCCATCGGATCTGGACTGGCTGCAGCCACCCGAGGATGAGGCCACAAAACTTGAGAACGCTATCAACGGCACGCCGGGTAGCGATCAAAACATAGTGATAAATCCTTTCCTCACGGCGCTGTGGACGCAAGCACGTATATTCCCACAGCCAGTCCTTAATGTTATTCGTGACATGGCCTCCAGGCAGTCTAAGTTCCTAAACCTATCAGACTTTTCCTCTGGAACAGGCGAAGCTCGATGGATGGATTTGTCCCAGTTCAGGGTGAATCCATACTTTGTTGAGTTATTCGGTGATTGCTTTCGATCAACCGAGAGCAGCTACACTATCATCATCAAGCCTCACATACTGGAATATCTGGAACAACTGGAGACGGTCAAAGGAACAGTCCGCGAGCAGCTCGTTCACGACATGTATCTTACCCAACCTCCATGCAAAGTCCTGCGAACATACGCAGTGAGAAGGTTTTCCGACGGACTACAGATGATAGGCCAAGTACACCAGACGAATGGCGTCCGCATTGGAGATCTTTTGCACATGTTGCAGGTTGATTGGAAGTTCTCTAGAGCAATCGACCAGTGGCGTACTCGTTCCGAGTATTTGCGGAAAGCCATTGCAGATCATACGCCAGATGTGTTCTCACTTTCGGATGAGGAGAAACTTTGGGCTTGTCCTGGCTTTCCGAAGCTTGTCATCATCTTCGAGGCTCTAGAACAGCCACATCCGACATTCGCGCAAGAACTCTACAACCTTACCCCGTACAGGAAGAGCGCGCAGAAAAAGGAATGGCATGAGTACATTCAGAAGTAAATGATAGCTGATATAGGCCATACAGAGCCAGGAGACTTTGTGTGGCCACATTGATTTGGCAAAATCGCGAGTTGTTCAATATGTATTTGAACTATCTGGCCCTCTTGGGACTGACTTGCAGACAGCCTCATCGCACTAGGCTATTGATGTATGCAACTCCTTCGGCTCTGTCGTCGTCATCCTCGATATAGCTTTGGTCTTTTCGGAAGACAAAGTTGGTCGCATTGGTGGCATAGCTCGGCCATTCGGGAGCTCGGGATACTGCAACACGCGTTAGTGTACTCTTACTCACACAATGAAAGACATTTGAACTTACCTCCATGACCATTAGGATCAAGATCGTACGCGAAAGAAGTCCACATGCGCATGACGAGCTTCGACAATGCAATGTTTTCGGAGATATTGCCCAATGGAGTGAGTTGCTGTTCTGGGTTTCCAAAGACGAAGGGTATCTGTTCTAGGGTCAATTCTACAGTCCATCTCACACCCCACTGATAGCATAGTACTGACCTCGGAGAAGTGATTGACGCCGATTGTTTCCGGTGTGTTGTTGAACTTGGGCGCATCCCATCGATACGAGTAGACCTGATCGACATGCTCACTCATGCTTTGCGCGAGCAATCTCCGAGGAGCATACATGGTCAGATCAGTTGCAATACTCTGGTAACGTTTGTATTGTAACCCAAACTGCGGCCATGTGCGATTGCCCCAGCCGTATGGCTCGCCAAGTGCAGGGTCGTTCGGGTACAGCTCGAGAAGTTTCTCCGCGACAGTCTCGTTGACGTTCCAGCGTTTGGAGTGTACTAGTTGATTGATAGCGTCGGAGTCGCTGTTCACCCCGTTCACACCAAAGCCTTCGTCGGTGTTGGTGCCGAGAATAAGCGGAATTTTCGCAAACTTGCCTTCCCGCAACGATTGTTGGCCGTACCGAGGTATCAGGCTACCATCTATGACGTGGAACCATTCGAGACCTTGGTAGCCATATGGTGCGATGGTCTCGTAGGGTACGTCACGAAGACACTGGAGCGTGTCTTCGGCATCTGAGCAGCCGACCGACTCGGTCAGATTGTCGTACATGTGCTGATACCAGTCGGTGCCGTTGAGTGGTGCACCGACAGCATTGCCGCTTTCTAGGATAGCCGCGCGAAACAGGCCCTCGTTGTCGCCGTTGTATGCAGCGATGTGGTCACCAACGGAGTATGCGCCTGCCGATTCACCCCAGATTGTGACTTTTTCGGGGTCACCCCCAAAGGCGGAGATATGCTTGTTGACCCACTGCATCGCAAGTCGCTGGTCGCGAAGTCCTAGATTTTGTGCGCCAGCAGCCTCAACTTCTTCACTGTACAGGAAGCCAAATGCTGCCATGCGGTAATTGATCGAGATGCCAATGACGGGCTTGTTGTTGAGTACTGATTGCTGAACAATGTAGCTCATGTTGTATCTGGCGTTGATGAGTATTTCATCCCGAATGCAGTCACTTCAGAGAGCTTACCTTGGATCACTAGTAGCACCCTGCTGCCATCCGCCTCCGTAGATCCATAGCAATATCGGGAGATGTGTCTCATTTGTCCTTGGTTTGACGATGTTTAGGTGTAGACAGTCCTCTCCCAGTTTTGTCCAATTTGCGGCAACCAGGGTGTTTGTGTCTCCACCATATCCTGTGCAGTCAACACCGTACTGCGTGGCATTGTGGTATGTTGTAGGTGAATCCGGTGCTAATTGAGCGGGAGCGAATCTCACCGGCTTTGGAGCATACTTGACACCTAGGAATAGGTCTTGGTCGAATTCCTGCAGGAAACGTCCTTGGTATATGCCAGCCTGCGAATGAACGATTGGTGATGATGCGAGAACGGGAGTGGCGAAACACACGGCGGCCAACCAGGATTTTCGAAGCTTCATGGCGGGAGGATCTGGGGAATTGCGCCATGCTTGCAACGCATATGCATTCGCTCATATACAACAGCTGCCATCTGAAGCCTCTCCATGAGGCTGTACGGAAGCGTCGTTCCTGAAGATCCACCAATGAGAAATATGAATACATCGCCGTCTACATAGCCGGTAGTCATTTGCCGAACAGAATCATTCTAGGGTTGTTTGCAATCTTGGCATTGTAATGGTTGCTTGGGCGCCCGGGCGAAGCGCATGGGAACAGTCGTGATGAAGGTGTCAGCCTATCGGACTGCATAAGTCAGGTATGCAGTGTCTCATGCGATGACATACAACTGCGAAGCCGGTCAGCACAGTCAAGACAATGATGATGTGTCAAATTAGCCGGCGAGTTGATGCATCTCGGTTGATGCAAATTAGTGGCTAGTCCGGGGTAGACATTCGCTCCACATTACCCCGCAAGCATCACGATATGCCGTGCATAAGGCACCGTGCGCAGGTCATTCAACCGGAAACTTGGTCGAAGTCCGGACAGGTTGGACAGAATATCACAAACCCCAAGACCCGTGTCCGGAATAATTGACTTTCCGCCCTATTCGAAGAGACTGGTTGGACAGCAAAGAGGTCGTTAACGAACACATGGAAAGAAGCCTTAGGATCAATTTAAGCCGACGCCAAAGAAAGCCCTGCGACTCTTCACGTGACTCACATCCGTCACGCAGAGGCCCTCATAAGCCATGTTCTCTCTCAGTAATGTGGCACCACATTTGGTCTTGCAGGAAGACGCCGAAGTAATTCTTAGATCTCCACGGTTTCTCTGGGCTTGCAAGAGACCAATCGAAATGCCGTAAGAACTAGACACAAGTCAGCATGGGGACTCGGCACGAAAGTTTGGAACAACGTACCTCGAAGATGACCTTCCTCATCTCCAACCATGCTATAGGCTTCCCGAGACACTGGTACTTGCCATACCCGAAGATCATGTCTGTAGTACGGCGCATAGCGTTCAAGCGCTCAAGCTGGATGTCGTTGTGCTCATCGAGTAGCCAACGTTCCGGTCTGAAGCAGTCGACATCTTCACCAAATATCTCTTTGTTTCGATTAAGGCCCATTACGTTATACCCAATGTTGGTACCGCCAGGAAGGAAATACGCTTTACCGTTGATTGTAACATTGTCGCCTTCGACGGGTACCTTCTTCGGAGCGATATCAGTGACAGGTGGGTGAATTCGAAGCCCTTCACGCATTACGGCTTGTAGGTATGGCAGGCTCTTCATCGTCTCGTCAGACACGATACCGGACGATGTAGCAGCATGACCTGAAGTAACTGCATCATCAATCTCGGCCTGCAGCCTTTTGTACGCCCTATGGCTGGTCATCAGGTAGAGCATCGTTCCACGTATAGCAGTCGCAGTTGTGTCAGACCCTGCTAGAATGGTGAGCATCGACTCAGTCACGATATCGTCGCGTGTCAATCCGTGGCGTATGAACGACGAGAGCATGTCCGAGCGACTATTGGTGGGCTTCTCCAGACGCGAATCGATGAGTTCCCGAGCTACCGTTCTCATCTTTCCATAACCACTCTTGTCCTTGTCTGAGGGCCCGAGCATGCGCGCGATGGGTGGCCAGTGGAGGTAAGGAGTCAGTCCAAGGGCCCCGGTGAAGACCATAATTGCCAACCCGACTCGACCAGCGCTTATATAATCGTCGAGGTCAGCATCGGCTTTGATGTCCCCAAACGCTTTACCGAAGCCGATTTTGCTGATCACGTCGAGAGTAAGATACTGAATCTTACTGGCGAGATCCACCGGCTCGTGCCGCGTAGCAGTCGAAAGATACTTTGATCTGATCAGGTCCAGAAGCTGGTGTATGTGTTCGTCCATGTCAGATTCCAGGGACCAATTCTCTTTGCCTGAGTACCCAGACGCCATCTGTTGGCGCCGCTTCGTGTGCTGAGCCTCGTCGAGTTGGCTAAAAACATGGTCCTTGCCAACCTCCATCCGCACGGCACTGTTGTACCATGCTGTGCGAGTGTATGGCGAGCGCACTGCGTTCATATGGGCCAGCAGATCTGGCGACGATGTTAAAAGGTCGTTGGGACCAATGCGAGCGAGGGGTCCTGTAGTTCGGCGCTGTCAGCAAGGGGCAAGCGGGCCGCACAGGGGCGAGACGGCGCCTCTCCCGCGCAGCGACCTTGGGATCTCCACCTATCTACTCACCATATTCATCGCCAACGGCTTTGTACCAGAGATGCGAATGCCGACTCAGTATCGCGCGCATATGCAGCAATTCACACCATCCCGAGCTGATCGGACCAGGGAAGGCTCGAAGGCGCCGGTAGCGAACGAAGGTCGCCACAGCATAGGCCACAAGAATGACCGCTACGAGTAGCCATTTCGCCGCGTAGAGCTGCGCAAACAAAGACATGATGAATATGCGATATGCTCACTCAAGAAAACGGACATGAGTCAGGCTACTAATGAACCTTCCTGTCCGAGCGGGGTCGCTCGCTCCTGCACGCATCTCACCACAACCGCATGCTGCGATGCACAGCAACGCTTACGAAGTCTGACTTACTACGGAAATGAGGACCAATGAGCACCTCATACCGATCACGAGCGGTCCACACGACCGGCAGATGCCAACGCGCACTATCGAGTGCCAATGACACGAGCGTTCGGGTGGCACAGCAGCATAGCAACGCGATAGCAGCGACATAAGAGAAGACGCTCGCTAGACGATCGGAGTGATACCTTTCGAACGGACAGCCATGATTCCACGAATTCTATCAGTTGGATTAGCCGTCACTTGCGCTAATGCGCTCCCACGCGCTGCTTTCAAACGCCACATCTCAGAGCTTCGGCCTACCTATGATGTCGTAATTTGTGGTGGAGGAACTGCTGGTCTTACAGTAGCTGATCGACTTACTGAGGCCTTCCCAGAGAGCAAGTTCTCACATCCGTCTACAAAGTACTTTTGACTGACCTCCATCGCAGAAACAGTGCTGGTTGTCGAGCACGGCGAAGTCGCATATGCGCCAGGGGCATTTGATCCGCCAAGTCTCGTTTGGGGCGGGCCAACTAACAAATCGGGATACTTCACATTCAACTCAGTACCTAATCCGGAAATGAATGGCAGACAGGCTTTGCTGCTCGTTGGCCAGACTGTCGGTGGCAGTAGCGCCATCAACGGCCAGTACTTTGATCGCGGATCTAGACATGACTACGACGCTTGGACCCAGATTGGAGGTCCTGAGTTTGCAAACAGTACGACCAAGTGGGATTGGGAAAGCCTGTTTCCCTACTTCAAGAAAGTGAGTATGGTTGCCGCTCGTGTCTGACGTTGAGCTGACTCCATATAGAGCGTGACCTTCACTCCACCTGCGCCAAGCGTGGTGGAACAGTATGGGTTCACTTGGGACATGTCCGCGTATGGCGGCACGACTCCCATCCATTCGAGTTTCCCACCTTTTCTATGGGGCGACATTCACCTCGCGAGGGATGCTTGGAGAGACATGGGTATCCGGGCCCTGGACGAGTGCGCAGGTGGGTTCAAAGAAGGCCTGTGTTGGACACCCATATCTCAGCATCCAGTCACGGCCAGGCGCTCGCACGCTGGTCTGGGCCACTACTCCGACGTTTCGGGTAGACCAAACTACGACTTGCTGGTCAAGCATCAGGTTATAAGGGTTGTCTACACTGACGGCGTCTCACACGGGCCACCAAGGGTAGAGATACGATCTCTTTCTAACGATGAAGTGTTCAATGTAACCGCCAAAGCCGAAATTATCATTTCTGCCGGCGCAATGCACACGCCTACCATCCTACAAAGGAGTGGCATTGGACCTGCAGCTCTCCTCAATGACTTGAACATCACCGCAGTACTGGATCTTCCTGGTGTAGGCTCAAACTTGCAAGATCACTCTTCTCCCGGCATATCCTGGAACTGTGAGTAATTTGGTCGCTCGTAAGGATGACACCCTGATCACTGACTGTGGGATAGATACGAAGCCTGGCAACTTCTCCAATATGCCTTCAGACATGCTTGATCCTGCTTATGCCGCCAGAGCAGTAGCAGAATTCAATATGACGCCAGCACGAGGCCCTTACACGTTGGCCATGAGTAATACTGCCCTGTACATCTCACTTCCTAACGTGACCGAGGAGTACATGGAAATTATTGAGGAAATGCGCAAGACGGCTGATAGCGACTCAGCGGCTGCTCATTTGCCAGAGAACTCCGACCCAAGCGTTGTTGCTGGCTACAAACGTCAGCTTCACGTCCTTGCCGACTTTCTCGCAAACCCAGAAGCCCCCAGTGTAGAAGTGCCCTTTGCGACTGGGACGACGATGCGCCCCATCATTCTCCATCCATTGAGTCGCGGTACTGTCCACCTCAATTCAACCGACCTGTTAGCTCAGCCTATACTTGATTACCGCGCTGGCTCCAGTCCCATCGACTTCTCCATCCACATTGCGCATCTCAAATGGCTTCGTAAGGTACTGGATACTCCGACTATGCGCAGGTACGGTGCGGTTGAAGCCACTCCTGGTCCAGCTGTTCAGTCAGATGAAGACCTCAAATCTTACATAAAGAGTTCCATGGTACTCTCGCATCTGCACCCATGCTGCACAGCTGCGATGATACCGAGGAATCTGGGAGGCGTGGTAGGACCAGATCTAAGGGTGCATGGTGCGGCCGGATTGCGCGTTGTTGATATCAGTATTCTGCCTTTCCTACCAAGTGCACATACGAGCTCAACAGCGTATGCGATTGCAGAGAAGGTCAGTGGGATTGTAAATGTTGCAGGATATACGCTAACGTTGGACAGGCTGCGGACATCATCATAAACAGTCTATAAACCATCCTTGTCAATACCAGTTAGAGACTACAACGTGTTATAGGTAGCAAATACATAGTACAATGCAACTGTTGCATGATGGAGAGTATTCACGATGTCAAGAGACGTCGTTCGACTTTTACATCTGCGGACAGCTTCTGCAGTTCTTGACTTAACTCGTCCGCCGCAGCATTCAGTTTCGCATCATCGATGGCTTCCAACGCATCCAGAATGAAGAGTACATTCGATGTGCCGTCGCTCAATGCAGTCCTCGAGCATTGCCTCCAATTCCAACGTCTGCACGTCACACCACCATCGTCGCACCAGACTGCCTCTCCGGGACTTGGGTGCTCAATGACGACTTCGCCGCCAGATTTTGTGTCAAACTTCTCATCGCCTTTTGCGCGTATCAGGAAAGGGCTTCCTTGGTATTTGTCAAGATCCTCGCCTCCAAGAGGGATCTGATGTTTGATGGAAATTCCATTGTAAATATCCGTCAAGCGATTCACACGCGGTAGGCCTGCATCAACACGACGTAACAGGGCTTCGAGACTGTTCATAGTCTTCTTGGGTTTTGCGCCGAAGGCTTTGTAGGCTTCCTTCCATTGCGCGACATGCGCAATGTCGTTGACCGGAGTCTTTGCCAGTGCCTCCTTGGCTGATGCTTCTGCCAAAGAGAGGAAAGCCTCACTTGCTGGGTCGGAAGGGCCTGGTGGTATGTTGGTGACTACCATGAGTAGGGCGCGATAATCAGGTCGGAGCTGGAAGATTTCTGGGGCGATGCGCGCGTTGGCAAGATAACTTGAAGGGTCTTGGATGTTCGTCATTTGGAATATAGTTGTATGCGAGCGACGAATGTCAGCTAGTCGAGGTTTGAAGACAGGCGCGATGGTATGCAAGGAGCGTAGAAATGTACACATGCGGGCTCTTTGAAGACATCTCGGTATTTAAACATTGTCCACGCTGTTTTGCTGAGCGCTCTAATTTTCCATATCTGGAATCAGACTTCCAGATTTGACCACAGGGCGTGGAAGCGGAAGTCTCTGTTGACAACTTGACATGGACCAGTCTAGCCGCTTTCCACTGCGGCTAGCGTGGTGCTAGTGGAGACCTGGCACCCACCATCGGACATCGTCGCGTGCAATCAACGCGTCGCCCACATCGGCGTCATCGCCACCCAGCATGTCGTTCCTGGTCAATCCATTTTCTCGGTCATCTCAGGCTGGTAACGCGTGGTTTTGCGCTGGCGCAGTGACGTCGTACCCGGATCTCGACGACTCCACGCGCGTCGGCGAACAGCGCCCGTGCGGCGAAAAGTATGTGGCTGGATGCCGGGTGTTTCACGTGCCTCGCGACGACAGCTCTAAAGCCACAGAGGTCGCAATTGATGACTGGAAGGACCCCGAAGTTGGTGGCGATGCAAAGGACCAAGTGATGGTATTCCAGTACAAAGGAAAATTTGTCGCGGTGAACCACGTACGTTACGACATTGGCACTATGTGCGCTGGGCCTGTGTTGACGAAGACTCGCACAGGAATGCCCGCACTCTTCATATCCACTCTCTAATGGTACACCTTTCGATATCGAAGACTTTGGCGTCGTGCTCAGTTCAGGCATCCAGTGTCCGAAGCACGACTGGTCGTTCGATCTTCATACCGGTCGATCGGACCGCGGTAGCTATAGGCTACAGGTGTGGGAAGTTCAGCAACGATCAGGCGATGAAGACCAGGAGGTATGGGTTAGAAGAAAGCAAAGAATCGGATAGCACAACACGATGCGGGCCTACACCCAACATCACGAACGAACGCTTGACCTCATCAACGGAACAATTTCGTATTGGCACACTATCGTATGCGCTATTCTCTACAACTTGATCCCCGTTACTTCGAAAGTCTGCACCATGTTCTTCTCGAACTTCGACCAGAACTTTGTGCCACTGATTGTGGTATCGAGATGCTGCACGTAACGATCGCCGCTTCCGATCTGGGTGCTCCACCTCGAGACAGTTGCGCCGGATGAAGGACGCCCCGAGAACCCTGACAGCTCAAAGTTTATATACTGTGCAGCGTCCCAGTTGACGGCCACGATGACCAACAACGACTTGCTAGCATCGTAGGCAGCAACAACGTTGTCTCGGCCACCATCGAGGATTTTCATACCCGGGCGCATGTGCCGGGCGAACTGCGCAAGCACGTAGTACTTTTGTGTCGATGTACCCAGCGTCTTCGCGTCATTATCCGCATCGATAAGACCCCAGCCTCCTTGGTCGAGGACTTGCCAGTACTCCCACGCCGTAGGCTTCAGCTGGCGAAGATCCTGGAAGAGGTACTTGGCAAGGTTCTCGCCAGAAGCCACGCCATCACCGTATTCGCTGTTCCAGAGAGCTTTTCCGGCCTGTGTAGCCAGTGTGCGAACACCAGCGCGGTCGCCGCTTCCGTATTGGTATCCATGGACGTTTATCCTGTTGATCTTGCTGAGTGCGCTACTGCCGATTGTCTTCAACGTGGTGGCAGCTTGATCGTAGTACGACTCATCTGAGGCGGCGATCTTTGCTGAAAGTCCACGATTTAAGAGTTGCGTGTCGAGATAACCGACGATCTTGGCTTGGGTGGACACGTCCACGTGGCATCCTTCTTGGGTGCCGTCGGCCTTCCACCAGTTCGCACTCGGCTCGTTGAAAGGGTCGACAGTTTCGAATTCGACTCCCCAGTTATCCTTGAAATGCTTTGCGACCGTCGCCATATACACTGCATGCTGCTCCAAGTTCCACGATTGGATGTTCTCGCTTCCGTCCGCAGCTCCCGATGGATTGTGGTTCTTCGTCATCCTGAACAAGTCAATACCTCACACACGTTTTGTCTATGAGTTGTACCTACCACCACATCGGTGCGTTTGAGAACAACTCTGTTCTGTCTGCTCCACGTGCGATCGCTTTCTGGAGTGCTGCTCGCTGGTTGACATCAACCGTCCTAGAGCACAAACGATGATCAGTAAATAGTCCCGTGGCACACGGAGGAGGTAGGTATCATACCAATTCCAGCTTGACGAGGCCGGGTCGCTGCTCTTCCAGTCCAACCAGTAGCCTTCCATTTGCCTCGACCTTTTTACGTTTGGAGACACTACCATCTTCTCACCATCGATGGTGTTCCAGCTACAGGCACCGGCGTTGTAACGTACGATGTTGAAGCCAAGACCCGGAAGAGTCTCGCCGTTGAACTTGGTCTGCTTCAGCGTAAAGAAGATATCCGCAAGATCGTCTCTGTTCCCGAACTGCTGGGCCCACCATGCCAACGACGTTCCCCATCCTTCCCAAGTACCCCAGTTCGATTTTGGATCAATGGTAGTCGTCACATCGGCATTAACCGAGTAACTGCTGGCTAGCACGACGGCCGCTCTGATGAAGGTCGACGTACGCATTGTAATGTGGTATTGGACGGAGCGGTTGATGATCACTACATACTCTCATCGTCGCTCTCTTATAAATGTAGCAGTCAACTCAATCTCGGCGCCTCATTCAGGTAACGCGCCCGCACACACCATCTTCTCACTAACTTCCACTTGGCTCTTGGATAATGCTGGAAGCGGGGTAGTCTATACACGATGTAGTGGTACTACCTCGGCGCTCGACCGTTTCCTTGCGGCGAAGCCTTAGACGACGAACCACTCACAACACCCACATTAAGACTAAGAACCATCTGCGAATGAGGATGTTCAAAGAATCAAGGTTGCGCCGGCGCTTGGTAGAGTTCCAACGAACCGGATTACAGCCGGAGTTGCTCCGTCGACGAACTTTACGGTCGCAGTGGCAGCGGAAGATTTCGGCGTAGAGTTCTTCCGCATCAACATATGTTTTGCCTCACAATGACGGCAGTGGGACATATGCCGAAGCCATGCGACAGTAATAGCATGCATGTAACGATATTGGGTGTTGTATCCGCCATTAAGGTTCGGGTGTGGAGGCGGACGCTAAGGGGCTGGTCCCCACCATGTCACCCTTGCCACCGGATCACGAGTTGCGGAGTGGAGAATCTATCGGGTCGCGGATTAAGTGGCACCCGCAGTAAGTCAGATGATACAGTATTCTCACGGTCATAGTGTTCAAAACGGCAGGTCTGATATGCCTTGGTATAGTAGAGACGTCACGTAGAAGGGCTAAGTGATTATTGGGGATGTAAGTCCGCCTAGGATATTAATATTGCACACATACTACTGCATTATGCCAACTTGCTTAGAGGAGCTTTGCAGAGCCCAGCATTGCGCTGCTACCCTCGGTCGTGTTACCGGAAACTGTGCCATTGGCATCGGCCTGGTTTAACCAAGCAGCCTTCAAAGACCAAACACCAACACTGGCGGTTACTGTTTCGTTCAAGCCCGCCACCCTCAGCATCATCGTGTCGAGCGGTTGCGTAGGGAAGAAGACTGCGGTCGCACCAAGCTCGCCTTCGTTCAGGAAGACCTCAATAATGCTCCTGTCGATGATACCCGAGATCTTCCATGAACCCTGTCTATCGTCGTAAAGACCGGTGGCAGTGAACTTGTCGTTGAAGTAAGGGCTCTGGAAGGCCTCAGTCTTTCCACGGTCGAGCCAAACATCACCAGATGAGAGGAAGGTTCCACCTGAGATCGACTCGCCGGAAACCGAAGATTGGAAGGTGAAGCTAATAGATCCCGCAAGCGAAGGACCGCCAGTGAGTCCAGTGACATTGACTTCAAAGTAAAGTGCGCCCGACTCGACGGTGGAGTAGTCTACGAAGGCAGTGCCGTTACTGGTGATTTCAGTGGAAGCAAGCTCCTCTTCAACGATCGACATGATATTGGACGGGTACGAGATCAAAGACAGACCCTGGCGGGGCAGATCTTTGAGGTAATGCCCTCTGGGTACGGTCATGACGCTACGGAAGCCATCGCCGACTTCCTCACCAGCAGTGGGAACGACGTTGGTGTACTGCCAGTTGCTCGCCCAGTTGAGCGTGACCTGGTCTTCGTCGGCGGGGATACCGTAGAAGAACTGACCGGCGTAGTTGTCCTTCGCGAAGTCCGTGAGGCGTGTTCGGGCGTCATCAGCTTCGAAATGCGTGCCGTTGAAGTTACCGACGAAGTACTCCGTGATAGATCCGCCGAGAGGAGCTCCCGGGTTGATGGAAATCAACATAACATACTTGGACTCGTCGCTAGTGGAGTTCTGCACACGCATCTCAACCATGTTCGGGCACTCGTACTGCAGACCGGTGATGCCGTGGCTGGAGAAGTTGCTGGTCGGAGTCCAGTCGATCAAGTTAGGGCTTGTGAAGATGCCGATCTTGAAGTCGATGGGGTAAGCCACGACCATGACCCAGCTCTCAGTAGGCTCGTACCAGATGACTTTCGGGTCACGGAACTGAGTGGGGTTGGTTCCACCGGGAACGATAACAGGGTTATTCTCGTACTTGGTGAAGGAGTATCCGTTGTCGTGGGAGTAGGCAATGTGCTGAGTCTGGTTCTCGGGAACATTGATGGTGTAGATGGCGACTACGCCGTTGGTCTGGTTCGGGAAGAAGCCGCTAGTGTTGTTTTGATCGATGACAGCAGATCCTGAGAAAACGCCCTCGGTTGGACCACCAGGAAAGATGGCGATGGGCTGATTTGTCCATGTGTACAGGTCTTTGCTGGTCGCATGGCCCCAGTGTTGGTTTCCTGCGATGTTCTCGGTCGGGTTGTACTGATAATAAAGATGATAAACCCCGTCTTCGCCCAAAAACATGCCGTTCGGATCATTCATGAACCCAGCAGGCGGGCTGAAATGCACTTGAGGTCGAAGCGGCTCATCGTAGTCGCCTGAAATCGGGACCCCAGTCGGTACATTGGGTTGCGAGTACGTCGATGTGCTTGATGCTGAAGGGGCTGACGAATTCTGGGCATGTCCAACCGTGAGCAGGCCACCGATGGCTGCGAGTACAGAGAGATGGGAAGGCATGGTGAGATGATTTCCGGTCCGATGCCGATCAATTAGGGATATACCGCCAGCTTTATGCTTCTCGAAAGACGGGATGCATCCGGGACTAGAGGACAAATTTTCGCATCGCCTGTGATGACAAAATCAGATGTGGACGTGCCCCGCATGTCTTCCTCCATCTTACTCCGCTTATCACCCCATGGGTACCAGCATTTTCGTATCCGTGTACTGCAGCCGGTGGGTGCATGATGAGGTTGAGCCGGCATCGAGGGAATTGGGCATATCGGAGCTTCCAAGTACGTACCTTCTCCGCAAAACCACTCAAATGCTACGCTGCACCTAGCTAGATTCAGGCCTGGGGTAAACGTGCGTTCTCGGTTGCCCAGGTTTACTTTTAAGCGTTGGGTTAGGATTGATGGGACCGATGTGCAATTGCGTCAACGGACGTGCTAGCGCGGTGCGAAATCTTCCCGAGAAACATTCCATGCTCCGATCTTGTTCTGTCAGCAGCAGTAAATGAGGAGCGTCAGTGCGCCAAGACAGAATGTGCGGGAACAAGGCCACTAAAGCTTCAACTTCTTGTCCTAATGCTGGTGTTGTTGGAACTAATGTATTGGTATATGCCATGGCGACTCGCTCGAACGAAGACCAAGCCCCAGTCTGAGTCAAAAGCGCACTCTGTTCTTCAAAGCGCGAGCGCAAAATCCCAGACTTGTACTTTTCGTGTGCCGAAAGGCCCACCTTGCCTGATGAACAGGCTCAAGACGTTGAATTTGTCCAGCCTCTCTTCGTCCACCAACGGCTCACCAGCAGCGTTTGGTACCTCGGCCAAC